ATGGCAGAGTGACCTGGGCTTGCAGGGACGCCAAACCCAGCACCGTTTCACCCCGGATCGGTATTTTATCCCAGATGGAGATCCGGGAATGCATCATCACGGGTTATCAGCGGAGCGGCCAGGGCCATCCCTACCTTTCGCAGTCGGGAAATGTGGTGTCCGCCCGGAGGGTCGTCACCGCATAACCGAGGGCTTCGCCAAGCAGCACGGCCGCCCGCGGCTCTGCAGCGGACGTGGGGTAGGAGAGGGGGAGAGGAGAGAGAGAAAAAGGGAAAAGAAAAGAAAACACAACAATTATTCGGGGGCTCCGGGCGAGCGGCGTCGTGGTGCCAGGCACCATACGGCAGCGCTGCGCTCAATGCTGCCATTGTGCCCTGGCCGCACTGCCAGCCGGGGGGAATTGCTGGGAATAGGATGAGTCCCGGTGGGCTCTGGATGCAGCGAGGGGGATGGGACTGTTGGAAAAGCAACACAATTAAGGGTGAAATAAAGGTGGAAAAGCTGCAGCTTTGCAATCGCTGATACAACACGCGAGCTCCTGCACGCTGGTATAACCACCACGGTGGCACCCAAATCCGGGGAGCGCCGTGGGCGCAATCGGAGGGTTTCCCATAGGATCCGCTCCCTGTCACCGGCTCTCCTTTGCTTTCCATGACAGCGGAAAAACCTCTTGCAGGGGAGAGCCCGGTGCTTCAAAGGAAGAGCTTCGACTGCTGCACCAAGCGCTTCGCCGCGCGCATTGCGGGAAACACAAGCGCTTTGCAAACCGTTCCCAGCTCCCGGCTCTTGAAAGCCGGAACAAACATCCCGTGCCTGCGCGCCTGGGAAGCCGAGGGCAGAAAGGAGGCGCCAGGAGGGGACCGTGTCCCCGGCATCCGCTCGTACCAGGCTCGGCCGCGGCGGATGCTGCGCTCGTGGGTACGGACTCGTACCAGCCGAGCAGAGGAACGCGCCTGCGCGGGACGCCAGGGGTAAAAGCTGCAGAAAAAAACCACTTTTTGAAGCTGTTTGGGCCAAACAAATGCTTATTTTGACTCCTGCGCTGTCGCAGGAGCCCTGTGGGCTATTGGCAGCTCAGCAGGAGGAGAAATTCAGGTTCCTGCATCCCTCTGCGGGACAGGGAGACGCCAGTTGACCTCCTGCTGTCCTCCCTGGGCTGGGAGAGCATCACTCAGCATGCAAACACACGTGGGCGTTTCAGCGTCCTGCCTGCGGCTGCAAACTAATACCCTGCGTGAGGGAAAGGGGGAGGAAACGGGAAAATAAAACCTGAAAAACAATAAGTTTCCCCCTAGCTGCCCAGTTTCCCCTTGACAGCACCCTCCTAATGCCGATCCCTGTGGGGGGGAAGCCGGGAGTGCGGAGCAGGAGCACGGACACGGCCCGAGCGGCCCCGGTGCTCCAAGCCGCAACCGCAATAACCCGGGAGGTGACAATCCATGATTTATTGGCAGGCGGGATTGCAAGCCCGGGGATCAAATACCCGGCACAAATGACGACGATTCCCCACTGGCGACCGGCTTTTATTGCAATATTGACCGGAACCTTCTGCTCTTGAAACTGTTCTTCCCGCTGAACTGCCTCTCTGAAAAGCCCTGAGCGAACACGAGGAGCTCGGAGCGGCCAGGACAGACTCGCAGGGCCTCTTCTCATGGATTATACCTAACAACACATAGGCTGCTTTAACAACAGCCTTGCCCAGCACGCAACTCCTGTGTAAGCTGCCACGTCCTTTGAGACCTCTGTGCTGTCCATGTCGGGGGAAAAAAGGGCCATTCTCGCAGCAGACAGGGACAAACAAGAAAACTGAGGCTATTTCCAGTCTCCCCTGCGAGGATGCAGCGGTTTCGCTGCGAGGCAACGGGAAGAGCTTTAATTGCTGCTTGTTTTATCCGCGAGGTCTCCGCTGCGGCCGAGAGCCCGGCGGGGCGGTTGGCTCCGAGGGGCCCTAATGAAGCGCCGGGATCCCGCTCGCTCCGCGCGTTCCAGGACGTCTGCCGAGCGCCGGCAGCAAACGAGGCGCCCCGTTAGTCACTGCGATGGATGTGGCCCCTCGGCACCTCTCGCTAGCGCCCGAGCCGGAGCTCGGGATGCACCGGCTGCTCCGGAGCTCGGGATGCTCCGTGCAGATCCAGGGGTTGGGACAGCAAAACGCCTGCAAAGAGCTGAAACGCACCCGTTTTTACATATCGTTTCTGTGCAATAGGGAATACACAGTGGATAAATATTGCCTAATGTTTATCTAGCCGACTTGAGGCGTTTATCAAGGAATCATCAGTGCAGGGCACCAGGGTCAAGTCCTGTCCTTTGCTAGGATTTACGGATGGGCGGTGGATGGAAATACATTACAGACTTATACATTCAGCCCCATCCTGCCTGGAAAACCCAGCTATGAAGCAGGAGGACCCCACACTCACAGAACATCCACATTCCTTGTGGATGCTTCCCAACGCGGAGAGCTCCCGGTGCCGCCCGCGAGACGCACGACAGCGGAGAGCTGCCGGAAAGCGCCCGGAGAGGCTCTGCCTTCCCTCGAGAGCAGCGGGACGCTGTGGAAAAACACTATTTGCCTTGTGAAGGAATCAATAGCCGCCTGATCGAAGGGCAGCGCAGCAGCCCACGGCCTCCCCGCCGTGCCCGGCTCCTCGCCAGCCCCACGGCTGCTGCCGGGAGCTCTCATGCAACCCCCGGGCATCGTCCGAGGTCGTAACTTGTTCCTATCTAAAATAGGAAGACAGGAAGGTCTTTGCGGGTGCCCATGGAGGTAGAAAGGCAGATCTGCCCTCTGGGCTGGTCTCTGTAGAAGAAATGCCTCTCAACAGGTCGTTTTCCCTGCCAAAACGGGGTGGTTTTGCAGGAAAGCGGCCAAGCTTTTGCTTCAAACCAACACCCGCAGTTGCACACCTTCCTGACGTGGAAAATATACTCAAAACCCATGTGCAAATTGGGGCAAATTGATTAGTTCCCCCCATTTCAGAGGGAGAACAGCACCTGACAGGGCAGCATCTGAGGGTGGGGAAGCAGCTGAGACCAGGAGGAAAAGAGGTTCCACGATGTCCTGGGTATCATCCGCTCCTGGTCGAGCCTCAGCATCGCCTGCCCTGGAGCTGCCCTTGCAGGATGGGTGTGGAGAGAGGTTTGGGATGGGGGGGATAATGGGGAGGTGTGGAATAGAGTCGAGGTGGGCACTGCGAGAGCGGCTGTGGGGCGAAACCACCGCGCGCAGCCCTCGGACACAGGCTCCGTGCCCACCACCATCCCCAGGGCCGTCCCTTCCTTTGCAATCCTGATTCCTGGTCAAAAGCCCACCGCCTCCGACACCCCTTCTGGATGCTCCCTTCCCAGGTGCCCCCAGAATGCCCCCCGGAGCACCCAAACCCTCCAGCCCCTCTTCCCGCTGGTCCCCATGTACAACGAGGCTGCGGGACCTGCTGCTTTCAAGCGACGGGGACAAGGACGTGAGTGCTGCTTCGCTCCTGCTGGGGACACCCCACGTCCCCCCCAGCTCCAGCGGGAGCTTTGGGGTCTCGGTCGGACCCGTGTGCTCGGAGCAGCCCTGCGGTGCCGAACGCATCGACCCGGCTGCTCCGCTGGAGCGAGCGGAGCCCGCGACCCTCCTGCCACCGTCCCCGTCACTCCGCATTAGCGCAATGGGGAGGCATCGCGTCCGTGGGAGCAGTCCACCCGCGGGAGGAAATTCCCGTTTTTCCCTATCCCTCATCCACGGGGAAATCCCAGCGTTTGCATGGAGTGAAAGCGCCTTCCCGCACGCGTGGGCAACGGGCGCCGCTCACCTGTGGTGGACGGAGAGCGCAGGGCTGGGCGAGGGGCCGGCGGCGGCTCCGCGCGGGCAGCACAGCCGAGCTCGGAGCTTCCGCGCGCTTCCATGGGGCAGCGGCTGGGCCGGTGCCGACCTCCGGAGCGAGGCGAGCGCCGCGGCCGCCACCTCCGCCGCTGCGACCCCGCTCCGTCCTCGCGCTCCTTCCCTCGCGGCCTTTCTGCCATCTACAGGGGAGCTTTCCGCATTACAGACGCATCCCGCAAAATCCAGATGGGAAAACGCGGCGCTTGACCATGGGCTGGTTCTGCCTGCTCTTGCCCACGGCTGTGTGGGGGGATAGCGAGCTGCAAGATCTGCAGCAGGGTAAAGGGGAGAGGTGGAACACAGAGTGGATAAAACCCAAGGGAAATGAGGAAAAGGCACCTCGCTTCCCAGGGAGACTCATTTTGGGTGAGAAAAGGGGTGCTGCCGTCTGCCTGCTTGGGCTCCGCGCTGTGCAAACTCGATCTGGGTTCGCTTTGGACAGGGACAGTTGGAGGTCTCCACGTGCAGGACCCAGCTCTGCAGGCTGGGCTGTTGGCAAGACGTGTCCCCCCCAGAAGAAGGTGCCCTGGCCCCACGGAGCCTCCTCAGGGAGCCGGCAGCCGCTGCTCAGCTCCCTCACACTTGCAGCCGACGGATGCTTTAGGCCTCCTCGGTCGCTGAGGCTCAGGATACATCCTGAGGCCTGCAGCGGTTGTATATGAAGGCATCGGGATTAATGCTGAAGAAAACCAGGGAAGCCAAGTGCAGGTCATCCCGCAAACACCACCTGGGAAAAACGCTCCCGTGTCTCAGCCAGAGACCAGAGCGTGGGACAGCAACCAAATCAATCAGCTCCCTGTTAGGAACCCTGCAAGACCACAAACCTGCAGTGCTTGGAAAGGAAATCCTCTCTCCTCCAACTTGTATAGGAGTACCCAAAATAATCTACCTGCATCTGGAATCTCTACGTGAATTACAAGAATGGCACCTGGCCGACAGGAGGGAACTCCTGGATAAAGGAGGAGAAAGGGTGGTGGATAAATCGCATCCTGTAAGTGTCCCTGTCCCCTCTGTGTTTTAGGCAACCCCCTTACTCACCAGGAACGGCCTCTCAGCACAAACACAAGCGTGACCAGGTTTTGTTTTCTTTTAATAGAAATATTCTAGAATAACTTTGGAAGGGAATCAGGCTAGAGGGAATGTCTCTTGGAATAAAATGCCGAGGTGCGCTCCAGGAATGATGTGCAAAGTTAAAACGTCCAAGCAGGCTCAGCTCAGGACTTGCTGGATTCTTGGGCCTTCTTGATTTCCTGCAAGGAGAGGAGGAACAAAACTGAGCACCCGTCACCCTCAGAGATGGTGACAGGCAGGAACCCCTGAACGCAGGACTCACCTCCAGGAGTATTTCCTTCAATTCGGAATAGGCCTTTTCTAGATCATCATTAATAATGACCAAGTCAAACAGGCCAGGCTCTTTACCTAGGGAAGGAAAAGAGGGCAGAGGATTTAGAGGGGATGGTGTTTCTTCTCTGTGACCTCTCATGTCAGACCTGCATTCCTGTGGCATTTTAGGGCCGTTACTTCAGCTTTTGCTACTCTCCACCAAGCACCCACTGGGAATTGCAAGGGGAAATGCTTTGATCATGCCGTGATCGAGCCTATCCAGCACCCAGCCCCTGCCAGCATTCCTCGGAGAAGAGGGATACAGCCCTTGGGTAGAAAATGCCACCTAAGCCACCAATGTCCCCCACCTTGAAGGCCACCGGACTTACTAAGTTCCAGGTCTACGCAGGCTGCAGTCAAGCGCTTCCGTAAACTTTCTTCTGTCTCAGTCTGTCGGTCACGTAGCCTTTTTTCCTAAACCCAACATTAAATCCGTGAAAAGCAACGTGTGTCCCGAATTCTGCATGCAGCCAACACCAACCCCTGTCCTCTGAAAAGCCACAGCCCTCTGCCCCCCACACAGGGGCTGTGAAATGACACCCTGCAAAGGGACACACTCAACCACAGAGCAAACCAGCGTTCAAGTTTCCAGGATCTCTTTCCACTGCAATCTTTTTTTTTTTTTTTAATTATTATTATTTGTTAATCAGCAGCTAGGCAGGTACCACTGGGAAGAGAAATCTCTCTGCTGGGAGAACCAGCAGGAGAACCAGGGTCCCTAAGGTTAACTGGAATGGATGTGGAAACACACCTCACTACAGAAATCTCATCTTTACCAAGGACAACCTGTGCTCTTGCAAAGCATTTTAGTTCTATCGTTTAGGTGTATTTAGTTCTACCTATATATTTTAAAGGTTCTAATGGAGCTGACACTCCACATTGGAGCAAATCACACTCCAAAGTGGGGAAAGAGACTGTGGAGAGAAGATCCAGGCAGCACTGGGCACTGGGTGAGGCACTCCTGAAAGCCAAGAGCTGGTGCTGCAGATTGAGCAGAGGTAGCAGTGTGCTCAAAACCAACCCATCTAGAGTGCAGTCCTTTAAAATATATACATTAAACAAGAAGGGGGAAACCCTCATGGCTTCAGAGCAAGACGCCGATTACCTCTAAGTGCCTAACAGCAAAGGAAGGCAGCCGCTCACCAAGACATCTATGGACGGAGGCTGCACGGAGATGTAGATGGGGTTGAGCTCCGTCCTCTTGATGTTCTTCACGCCTTGGATGTCGATGTCAAGGACGCAGATCTGGTTCTGGGCCTGAATGGCCTGCACGGCGCCTTTGCTGGGGACAGGCAGAGAAGGATGGTTAATCTGCTGCTAGGGAGAGCGGGGATGCTGTAAGGAGGGCTGTGGAAACAGGTACCACACAACTACCCCACGTGCAGTATGGCTTGATGCATGCACAGAGATGCTGCCTTCAGCAACTACAGCCTCCTCAGAGAGCAAAATCCCTCAAAACCTGCCTTAGAGGACCAGCGCTTTCCATACTCACATGAAGCCAGGTCAGGTCACAAGAGCAGCTCCCTGCACAGCAAGGGAGGGGGAAGCTCAATCCAGCAGCCAGGCAGGGGTGGCTGCCCTGCCCCGAGCGCGCTGTGGATGGGCAAATCCCAGGATGGCTGAGGGTGGAAGGGAGCTCTGGAGATGGTCTAGATCCACAGAGAGCCAAGCGTGCCTCGAAGAAGAGGCCTCTCTCCTGCACCCTGGTTTCAGCCTCTAGTTAAAGGCAGCTTCTGAAAAGCCTCAGTTTTGGTGAATAGGGCTCGGCACTACCCCAAAGACACGGTCCTTTCAGGGCTCCTAAAATAAGCACTTCATTTTCAGTTATTAATTATTATAATTAACTGGTGAGATTTAGGAAGAATAAAGCATTGGCAAAATCTTCAATTTTTCTGTTTAGCCTAAGGGTCCCTCTCCTCCATCTGATCAAACAACTGTGATTATGAATCATCCTCAGGCACTTAAATAGAAAAATCTTCGCTCGAGTGGTTCCAGTATTAATTCTGTTTGAAAACTTACATATATTGCAGAGTTGATGTGAGTTCATTCCAGCTTCTTTCTCCCACCAGGGCAGACTAGTGGTCCACGTGACCAGCAACAGAAGTGAAAAATGGGGAGAAAAGCCCTTCTAAACTGAACCCCATTACGTTATTTAGACCTGCAGTGATTACGGCATTTTATCTACCAAGACCTCATCTTTTTAAGTTTATTTAACCTACAACCATTAGCAGGGCACATCCATCTCCATCAGTGACAGGCAATCAGTCAGTGCGAGGAGGCGACGTGAGGTTCTAGCAAGAAGGGAAAAATCCCTGCCTGCATCAACCCGGAGCTTTGTTTCGCTAACCAGTCTATGTAATCAGGGCAGAAATTCACCTAGAGGCTTCTCTCAGCCTGGGCAACCACAGGAAAACGCTACAAAGCCAACAGAAACCACAAGCAGACGCTGGGGCTGATCTCATTTCAAGCGTGACACCTGCACGGACATCCCCAAGCATTCTGTGTTGCCACATAGAGCTCCAGAGGTTTTCTAAGCCAGGAAGATGGTCCTTTGGACTCTCTTAACCGATTTCACCCAGTTTTGATAGAGGAAATATCTTAAAACAGCCGATTCATCAAAGTGCCATCAAAAGCACTAGAAGGGGAAGATGCCTTGTGAGCCCCTGCCCTGAGGAGCTTTCCCAAGCCTATCAAAAATGCTTTCCAAAATGCATTTCAGGCAACTTTCTCTAATTTAAAAGATTAAGTATCTTGGAACTTGCTTAACTTTCCTCCTTCACAAGACCTGTACCACAGTGCCACACTTACTCTAACAATAATTATGTAAGAAATTTGACTTCTAATTAACATTGCAGCTTAGTGTTTTATTGATCACTAGCTCCAGTGCCCACAGCAATGCTATTTTAAAATCCACCCAACTCTTTAACCCTGGTCAAGGCTGCCATGCAATATATCTGCTTGCAAACAGTTACTTTTCCAAAGAAGCCTGCATACCTATTTCACTACAGCCACCTGCTCCTGAGTTTGTCATATTCAGACCAAAAATCACACAGGGATAATGCAGAATAAGTGTTCATCTTGCCACTAATCTCTGCAGAGCACGTGGGAGATATTAAGGAGTGCAAATGCTCTCCAAAAACCACCCTCGTGCAAGGAAAGTTTTAAGTATAGAAACTCCTTCAGCAGCCCTCAAACACTGGAGGTAACAGAGAATCTCATGTTGCAATGAAGAATGAATCCTAATGAGGTAGAGTTTTGTAAGAGTTAATTTTGCTGCTTTAATAGTGACCTAATACAGCTGGCAGGTCCCTGCTACCAAAATGAAAGGCATATTTAAGGCAAGAATCTGTGTATTTGGGGGAAAACAGTGACACTAAGTTAAAATGCTTCTTCCTCCATCACCAGTGGGGTTCAGTGCTGACGGTGTCTGAGTTGTGTATCTTGTCCCATACGTATGTAAATTTTGTACCTTGTCCCATACATATTTAGATTTTGTACCTCGTTCCATACATATGTAGATTTTGTACCTTGTCCCATACATATTTCCGGAGAACTCTGCATGCTCAATGAATTCACCAGCATCGATTTCTTTCTGCATCTCCTCTCTGCTCACAAAGTGGTAATCTGTATACAGCAAATGGGGAAAAAATACCCAGAAATGAACAGCTTTGAAGGCAAAGTGCATGGCCAAGATGCTACATGTGAATGCTCAGGGGAGAGGCACCTGCCAGCCTGGCCTGGACAAGCTCAGCAGGCTGCAGATGCCTCTTCTGAATGGCCACGTGCAGGGTTCCCTCTTCACCCCAACTGCCCACACATCTTCTCAAGGTACCTGGGAAGCCCTGGGCATCTTCCCATATGGCCAGATATGCTGCCGTGCTCCCTTTTTTTCACACTTCTTCCCCTTTGTGGTGGAGTGGGCACCCTCTGAAGTCAAAAGCCCTACAGCAAAACCCTCTATTTGAGAGCACTTATGATTGAGACCACAGAGAGAGGCAGATAAACATCAAATCATCCAAACAAATGAACAAAAGGAAAATGTTTTCCTGTCTCTTGTTCAGATTTCTTCCACTCATTCCATAGTTTCCAAAGGCATTTTTCACTAAGTGGCAACCTCATTTGTTTCTTTTTGAAATACGCAAAATGATCATAATAAAGACAAGTGGCAAGCCAGCTGCACACAAGCCATTACAAGAGATAAAGGCAGCTCATTAAGCAGTTGATTTTCCCAAAGAACCAAATATTTCGTGCCATCTAACCCGAGCACATAGCTCTTCACTTCAGGAAACCAAGTCACTCAAAGCCCAGGTGTGGACTAGGGAGCTTAATCAGAGAGCTCCACTTTGAAAACCCTGAGAAAAGGTAGGATTATCACCTCTGTAAATGGACATTCATGCAGTTCTCTCAAAATATAACATTTCAGAACCATAATTTGTTGAGTCTGATGAGATGGGCCCAACTGCAGTGCACTGACCTTTGCCATTGACTTCTCCAGGTCTTGGCTTTCTTGTGGTATCTGTAAGCAAAAGATGCCCTTGTAACTTCTGCAAATCAGCCAAGGAAATCACAGCATCAAAGAAATAAAAAACCCACACAGATAAATCCGTCACATAAAAGGCTGGTCCTCTTTCAAAATGATCAAGGCTTCTGAGATCAACTAGCATAAAACACAACAACATGCATGAGTCACACCTTTGAAAATAAAAAAAAAAAAAAAAAAAAAAAAAAAAAAACAAAAAAAAAGCAATCCAGAGTGGCCAATTTGAGACCTAAAGGGTTAGGCTTAAAGGCTTAATTTTCTACATTGCCAGAGACTTCCCTGTGCAATTCAAATTATTCACATTATTCAATATACTCACATTATTCAAATTATTCGATATATTGAACATTATTCAAATCTCCATCTCGGTTCAGGGGAATTAGCAGTGCCCTACTTTAATAAGTTATCTTCATTTTGAAAGCTCAAGCAGTGCCTACATAAGTGCTTAAAATAGCCAGATTTATTGAGGAAGGGCAAACTCCTAGGTGAAGTGGTTGGATGAATCAGGCACCCCACAAAGCCCTTTGGAAGTCATTCAAACTCGCACTATTTTAGGCACATGATGTGCAAACCAAACAAGATGTGACAGTCCGCCCAGAAGGCAACACTCACTGTTTTCTTCAGGATTGGTGGGCATTAACCTCCTGCAAGAAGGTTCTGATCACCTCTTAGCTTTTATAAAGCACTCGCTGCCAAGGTCCAAATGATCTATGGAGATTTGGAAAAACAATGGATACCAAAAAGCAACCTTGTGGAAACAACAAGATTTGCTTCAGGGTGAACTCGGTATTAAAAGATATAGTTGAATTAACAGCATTGGATGAAACAAAAGAAAAAAAGAAATGGACCTTGTAGATCTCAATGCAAGGATTTCATTTGCTTTTGGGCAAAGGTAGCTGCTGTGAGAGCACCAAGTCAGCTATTCTGACATTAAAAGAAAATATTGTAGGTCAAAAAGCAGGACCCTTGGCCAGCGCTTGGTGATCAGAGTAGAAAGCAAAGTCAACAAAAAGCAGGAATATGAATGGGAGTAGGTGATGGGAGGTACCAGTGCTCATGGACCCCACTGCCAGATGGGTCTTACCCAGCTCGTATCCTAAAATCAGAGACCGTGGCTGTGCTAAGCAGGACCCAGGCTCTGCTGGATCCTCACTGGCACCCACAGGTGGGTGGAAACACTGGGCTTGCGAAGGAAGTCTTCCCTGGGATTCGGTTACTTTCCCAGTCAGGAATCGCTTGGAAAAATCTCATTGTTTGGAGTTGTGTTCAGAGAGGTGGCCACTCACCAGACCTTGAAAGGTGCCTCCAAACCCTGCAGCTGCCTCTTGATACTAGTATTAGAAAAGGCCTGGCTTGTTTAAGCACCTCACAGAGGTGCTTAAATGCTTACAGCACCTCACATAGACGGACCAGCATATGGGCACAGAAGCAGATGATCTGGGGCACAAACACTGCTTCCTACCCAGGTTTGGGGCTACCAGCCCCGACCTCGTGCTCCCCTTCGCCAAGGGCCCCAGAAACTCACGGGAGACGCTGAAGCCGAAGACGTTCTTGTACTCTTGAAGCAATTTCTTCAGCAAAGTGCTCTTCCCTGCGCCCGACGGGCCGCTCAGAACCACCGGCCTCGGCCCCTGCATGGCTGGGCAGACAGGAGAAACACAAGGGCGGTTAGAAAGAGAGAGGGGCCGCGAGAAAACAGGTCACTGACTGAAGTCAAACTCACAGCACGACCCAAAGAGGAGACTGCAATTCAGTGCAAAGCACTGACCTAGGACAGAGAGTTAAGAGGGTCTGATTCAGTCCACCTGGATTAAATATGAGTGTTAGAGGTGCAGTAAAAGGGAAATAAACCTCAAAGTCCTGCAAACTATGGGCTCATCAAGGAAGGGAGTTGGGAAATGAATATCAGCTGGACACAGCCACACTTGGCCATGGTAACTCCATCTGCAGGTCTCTGGTTGTGGGCAAGAAGTGTCCTAATACTGTCCACTAAAGGTCCTTCCCCTCAGGTCACACAGACTTTTCTGCAGTTGCTTCTTTGCCCTGAAATAGAGGAACGGGTGTTTTCCTGCGCTGGCCTCTCTGGGGAGGAAGAATTAATGATTAACATGTGAATAAAGAAAAAACAAATCCCATACTTCAGCACAGAGAATACAGCTGGGCTCAGTCATCCATCAGAAAACAATTCAGCAGCTTTTCAAACAGAGGTGACACAAATCAAATAGGTCTCGTTTCCTATTAAAAAATAAGATATATTCCCCTCGAAATGTGTCAGTTCAATCCCACCATCCAGGCCCTGCCTCAGCAGCACCCGGTGCGACGCCTTCCCCTTTTACACTGGATCACAGCAACGTGACCCTGACCTTGCAAACCACCTTCTGAAGAGCCTTAAACCCCGTGCAGGCTCCAGGCTGATCCCTGCTCGCTGTCCACCTGCGGGACGCCCCTTTATCCCCACATCACTGTGCCAGTAGCTCCTCCTCGGGACGTGCAAGAGCCCAGGAAGGACGCCCGGATCACGGCTCGAGTTTAAAAAGAGGTTTTTCTATCACTCTCCATAATTTCTTCCACCCTTCAGCAAGTGGTGAAAGGGAGATGAGGATTCAGATGAGCCCAGATGAGTTGCAAACCCGTCACCCAACCCAAAGCACCTCAGGAGGTTGGAAGCAACCGTTTCTTACCTTTTGCAGCCTTCCACCCAAGGTGCAAGGCCCAGCTCTTTGCAGCAGCAACAAGCTCGGAGTCCGAGCGGGCGGGTGGGAAGCCGGGCTATTTGTGAGCCCCGTAAAGCCTTAATTACAGCGCCTGCTTTAAGACGGCCAATGGAAACCGACCACTGATCTTTAATCTCCACCTGTGGTTTCTTCCCCGCTCCCTGCCCTTCTGAGCAGTTAAGCTGCAAACACCATTAACCTGCTGGTGAAACCACCATGGGCCGCTTTGGTCTACCCAGATGCTTTAGGAAACAGAAGCAAAAAGTCCGTGTCTGTGAAGCCAGTCTCGTGTGTCACACGTTCCCCTGCCACACAAAGAGGCGTTTGCTCTTGCAAAGGAGCACAAGAGGAAGAATTGCTGCTATTTGTGGATCAGAGGAATGTGGAGTAACCACAGGATAGTTCAGGCTGGAAGGGACCATGGGAGGTCTCCGGTCCTACCTTCTGCTCCAACGTAGCTTGTCTTTATCAAGGGGTTGCGCTCACTGATCCACAGACTTCATGCATGGGGCTCCTGGATCACCTTGGTGCATTTCGGGTATAAAAGCCAAGCCAGAGAGCTACTGCCCTCACATTACACCTGATATTGGTGTCTGGTGAAGACAACTCTTCCCAAAAGACACTCATCTTGATTTTAGCCACCTTCTCTAAAAAGTGTTCATTTGAGGAGTCTGTAGAGCTCTTGCCTCCAGCTTCAGGTCAAGTCAAAATTTAGGACTTACCCACAATGAAGATGATGGAACAAATTTCTTCACCCATCTTCACCCACTGTGAACCTTCAAACAGCATGACACCTCTGCAGTGTCACCCTCTCCATCCTTTTGGACCCACCCCTCTCCATCTCCCACAGTGACTAAAATACCTCAACACTAGAACAAAAGCAGATTCAAGATCCTTGGTGTCAGAGGTCGTAATTCTGCCCTACAAGAGAGGCACCAAACGTGGTGTCCCATGGCCAAGAACATCTGGAACCAGACACCACGTCTGGATGTGGCAGAGCAGCGACCTGCACTCTGCTCTCTCAAGCCCCTGGGGAACACTAGCCTGGCCAACCATGAGCGATTACTGCTCTGCTTCTGCACTTCTGAAGGTCTTCACTTTCTCCTCAAGCACAATAAGCCTTTAGGTGGCAAAAGAGGGAGGGAGCAAGTCCAGCTGCAGGTGAAAAATAAAGCGCAGTTTCCTAGGAATCTGTGTCCTGAGGGTGTGGATTCCCTGATGTCTAGTGAGGGTGGAGCTGCTGATGTTCTTCTCTCTGCAGGAGAATTCTGCAGGGAGGCTGGAGGAAAACGGGGCCTCTCCCTGTTTAGGAAAGATGGGGGAGGAAAAAAACTTTTTTCCACAAAAGTGCCAAGACCCAAGGTGAGACGCTCACATTCCCACTGCAATCAGAGGCCCCATTTCTTCAACAAACTAAGGCTAAAGACAAACTGAAGGACTTGCAGATGCTTCCTCTTGCCTCCCTTTGGCCTATCCCATTTTCTCTTTGCTGGAGAAATCCTCTCTTTTGCCCAAACAGGGCAGAGAGGAAAACAGCAAGACGGAATTCACAGAAAACCCAATTTCCTGGCCGAGCTGCCGCCCTCCACGTTTGCGTGGGCAGCAAACACTCAGCTGGTAAGTTTGGGATCCGTGTCAGGACCAAAACAGCTTCCTGGAGGCACCGTAGGACCCGTTTTTCCCAGGAACCCACCAGCCGTCACAGTGCGGTGAAACCCTGGTCCTGCACAGCACGTTCAGATGAGGATGTGAGAGATTCCAGGGACTGCAGAGGAAGGATCAGGATGAGGATGGTCTCAGAGGGCGAAACAGGAGTCCATCTCTGCCTCTACATGTTCAGATTTTGGCATTTTCACAATCACGGAATGCTTAAGGTTGGAAGGGACCTCTAGAGGTCATCTAGTCCAGCCCCAAAGAAGTCCAGCATCCAAGAACTGTGTCAAAGCCAGAAAGTTCATGGAGATGCTTCCTCCTTGGGAACACACAGCACGTGACATCCCTGTGTTAACCAGAGTGGCAATTACTCAACAATGAGCAGTTTTCTCTGCATGATTTAGAACACAAGTCACATATACACACATATGTATTTTTTTATTATTATTATCTTGGCATGGCTTAACTTGAAAGTCTTTCAAGGCAACGGTTTCCTCTTGAGGCTCAACAAATGTGACCTTCCCACCTGGCTCAGCCTAACAGTGAATTTGTGCAGCTCCAAATCCCTTCGGTCCCCTAAGGAACCTCACTTATCACTGCAGCGTGGGACATTTCCAGGTCTTCTGCTGCTGAACTTCCCCCGAATCCTCATTGAAAGGCAGCAACGCAACTAGCAAAGGAAAGGATGGACATCACAGGAGTTAAAGGAAATTAATGCTGATTAGCAGACAGGCTTTAAGGAGAAGGTAAAACCACCTTACAAGTAGAAAAGAAGATTACAGGACTTTTTTTTTTTTCCTGGAGCCCTGAGAAAGGTCTCACAGATTAGGTGGATAATCCCATCCCCTATTTATAGCAGGCTCTTTACAAACCTTCCCCATCCCTCCTTCCACTCTTCCCCACTCTCTCCACTGGCAGAGCTGGCCACGTCACCAGAAAATGCCACCTGGCAGAGCTGCTAATGCCCAAAGGAGACGGGGGGGGTACCCAGTTGAGCCCCAAGGCTTAATTAGAGCCCGGAGAGCCCCAGCAGGGCCGGGCAGCAAGGAGCTCCCTCCTGCTTCAGTAACATCCACCCGGCTCTGCCGCTCACTGGCAGGTGGCCGTTTCTTCCCTTTCTTACAAGTGATATTAAAACACGATGCAGGTGTCCCCACGTGGTCACAGGGCCCATCATGGGGAGGAAGGATGAACCCCTCTTCTTCCTGGAAGGAATTATTCCCAAAAAGCGCTACTCTAAGATGCTCTGCCGATGCTGCCGAAGGGAGAAGGGGAAGCGTGGGCTCAAGGTCACTGCAGAAATGGCCATGGCCCAAGCCACGGGCGAGGGAAAGGCTGCCCAAGGGGGAGGCCGGAGCAGCCGGGGTGACCAGCAGGTTTCAGAGCAGCCCCTGCCCCTTCCGTCCGTCTGCACGAATCCTGGGATGTGGAGGGGAGCCGGACACGGCGATGCTTCCCAGGTGTCCTGCTGCCCAGCCGTCCCTGCTTGCACGAGTCAGCCTGTTTCCAACCCAAAACGCATTCTGGGGGATCCTTGGGTCCCCCAGGACACCTGGGCTCCCCCAGGACACCTGATTTTGTCCTGGTCCAATTGAGGGGAATAGAGAGTGCCCTGAGCTCTGTGCCCCCAGAGCAGCCACCAAGTCAACCCAGCCCAACCCCTACATGGCCACGTCAACCTGCCCCAACCCTGGTGCGGCCACCACATCAACCTGCCCCAACGTGGCCACCACGTCAACCTGCCCCAACCCTGGTGCTGCCACC